GAAGTAAGCATATCCGAAGGAGACATGGATACAGATTCCTCTGATGCTGAAATTGTTCCTGCTCCTACAACAGAAATAGCGTTAAGGGAGGGAAGAAGAACTCGACAACCTCCTTCGCGTTTAACTGATTATGTTGCAGGTGAAGGATTATCGGAGGAAGATGAAGATGAGGCTAATATAGTTGCTTATTTGATGATCTCGGATCCAGTTGATTTCGAAGAAGCAGTCAAAAGCAAAACATGGAGAATAGCCATGGATGAAGAGATTAAATCCATTGAAAAAAACAAAACTTGGTGTTTAGTGGATTTGCCGACTGGAGCAAAGAAAGTTGGTTTAAAGTGGATTTACAAAACAAAGTTGAATGAACATGGAGAAATTGACAAACACAAAGCAAGGCTGGTGGTGAAGGCGTACACTCAGCAGTATGGAATTGACTACACTGAGGTGTTCGCACCAGTTGCCAGGATGGATACAGTTCGGATGATAATTGCTTTTGCAGCACAAAAAGGATGGAAGCTGTACCAATTGGATGTAAAATCAGCTTTTCTTCATGGAGAACTAAAAGAAGAGGTTTATGTTGAGCAGCCAAGAGGTTACGAAAAGGAAGGAAAAGAGCACATGGTTTACAAATTACAGAATGCACTCTATGGACTGAAACAGGCACTGAGAGCCTGGTTTAGTCGAATCGAGAGTTACTTTAATAAAGAAGGCTTCATAAACAGTCCAAATGAGCAAACGTTATTTGTGAAACGGAAAGAAGGAAAGATTTTGATCGTTAGTGTATATGTGGATGACTTACTATTTACGGGTGATGATGAACAACTATTGGCTGAATTCAAATCCTCCATGAAAAAAGAATTTGATATGACAGATTTGGGGCAAATGAGGTTTTTTCTTGGAATCGAGATTATTCAAAAAGACAATAGTATTTTTATTTGTCAGAAGAAGTATGCAAGTGAGATTCTGCGACGGTTTGGCATGGAGAATCACAATTCTGTGTGCAATCCTATCGTTCCAGGTCAGAAAATTAGCAGGGATGAAGAAGGAATAAAAGTAGATGCCACTCAGTATAAGCAGATGGTGGGTAGTTTGATGTATTTGACTGCTACTCATCCCGACCTGATGTTTGTTGTTAGCCTTGTTAGTCGGTTCATGGCTAGGCCTACACAACTCCATCTTACAGCAATCAAAAGGGTACTAAGATATTTAAAAGGCACTGTTAACTATGGAGTTTTTTACAGGAAAGAAGGAGCAAGTTGCTTGGTCGGATACACGGACAGTGATTATGCTGGGGACATGTTTGATAGCAAGAGTACTTCAGGATATGTTTTCCAGATGAGTGGAGGAGCTGTTGCATGGTCTTCTCGTAAACAACCAATTGTAACGTTATCAACCACAGAAGCTGAGTTTGTTGCAGCGGCTGCCAGTGCATGCCAAGCTATTTGGATGCAAAGAGTTTTAAAAGACATTGGTTACTCACAGGAAAAGGGAACCGTTTTGATGTGTGATAACGCGTCCACTATTAAATTGTCAAAAAATCCTGTTCTACACGGACGTTCCAAGCATATAAGGATACGGTTTCATTTCCTCAGAGATCTGGTTAAAGAAGGTATTGTGGAGATGCAGTTTTGTGGCACCAAGGACCAACTAGCTGATTTGATGACAAAACCACTTAAGCTAGAGGCATTTCAGAAGTTGCGACAAGAGTTGGGGATGTGTACTGTTTCTTCTTTGAACTAATTCTATAGCAGAGGAATAAGTTCAAGGGAGGGAATGTTAGATTAAGTCAATAAAAGGACCTATTCTTATGGGTTGTTAGAGTTATATCTTGCTGTATTTTTCCATTATTTTAGCAGATATTTTGGTTTACTAGTATCTTCTGTAAATGGATATTTAAAGCCTTCTCTAGACACAGATAAAGCATCACTTGAAATCCAATTGTCTCTGCATAAAGCTTTTACAGTATTTAGCTTTTCAGGCATTTCGTAGGTCCAATTCTTGTCGAGTTTCAGGTTCTGACCATTGTTCTTCATGTACTCGATACTTGATTTAACGCAGTCGTTTATCCCTTGATATTGTGATTTGACCTTGCCCCCAAGGGTAAATTGCATCATTACATTGGTCGCTCCTTGGATAAGTTAAGCTAGTGAGTTCCAGTTCAACTTTGACCAAGTCGTTGTAACCTGTCCATTCCACAACGACAGTTCCTAAATGGCTAATGCTACCATGCAAATCCACAATAGTATTTTGAAGGTCCGTATAGGCCGCATGTGTTTTTTCGATCATAATCTAAAAGCATTCTCAAACATCTTAATACAAATCACAAGATCGAATTGTCTATTCTAAAGATTGAGACTTCAATTTGGTGTATAAAACTGCCTGAATTTGAATATATTAAAATATAAACTTTATTGTTGCTTGTTTTTCTTAAATATATATTAAAATATATTCAAGCATTTATCTAAATTTAAAACTTTTGAACTTATACCATTTTCACTGTAATAATCCAAGCGGTAATTTGTATCCATTCAATTACAATAACTGAAATCCTTGATTAGTATCTCAAATTTTTGAATGCCTTCTTTATCTAAGGATTCATTAAAGTTTGATTTTTTTTCACAGAACAAATTTTACAATCTTGATACCCGCAATCTGTCTATATATATATAACTGAAATAAAAAAAAAAACTTTATAAAGCTTACGTGAGATTCCTATATTTGAGTATTGCTTTTTTTGAAAATAGAGAAGAAGTCCCAATTTACAAACTCACACGAAGACTCCATTTGAATTATCTTTTAATTCAATTATCATTTTATTTTCTGAAAATTTACTTTTTTTTTACACAATTTCATCACAAGCATTTACTTTTCAAGTTCCTTTACTTTTAAACGAAAATTGTGAACTTTTCCTACAATCGTTTGGTTGTTTAGAAGTTGGTATAGCACACCATTTTGGAAGTTAGTGTAGCACACCATACTCATACAGTGATATGCTTCGAGTATCTAGCACGTTCACGTCCAAAACGCACTTTAAACGGTTAGTCAATATTAGAGAAAGTGATTCGAACCGAAATCTATTGTCAGGTCGTAACGTATTTATCACTAAACTTTGCCTTAGTGTGTAGAGGTAAAAAAAAAAAAAAAAATCGAAATTTTTATATTTCACCTTATAATTCCCAATTTGAAGATTAAAAAAATTGAAAATTATTAAATATAAATTACTAAATTTAATTAACTCTCATTTACATTATAAAAACTTCACAAATGAACGTAATAATTTAATCTTTATATACGTTTGACTCTCTAGTCTCCTCTTATAAACTCCCAATCATATAATATGGCTAATGGGGCCATAATGAAGAAAATTGGTCACTTCCAACTTCCAAGAGGTACCCATTAACGTCTGGCTTTAATCTGGTCCATTAAAACTTACAGGAAGGCACTCCAATTATTATTACCCCAATAAGCAGGAGAAGATCCAAACACGTCCTTCCAGGAAATCCTGTTCCATATCATAGCTTAATTAATGATTAGTACTACAGACTGTAATGGGCAGAAGTCTTAAATACAAAATGTTCAATCCGTGGACCCAGAGAGAGAGAGAGAGAGAGAGAGACAAGACTTTTCTTGCTCTCTGTTATTGAAACAGAGTTTTAATGGCCGAATTTTAATTCATGTCCTATCCTATCCAATTTAATTGGCTTTCTTTCCTTTCTTGACTTTCAACCTCTTCTATGTCTTGTTGCTATCTTACTTCCACTTAAGCCAAATAATATGAACAAAACCATTAAAAAGCCATGCTTAGAGTTAATCTCAACTCAATTACAATTAAGGATCCAAAATATTTAGTTAGTGGACAATGAATAAAATTAATAATTTAGTTGAAGCTAAAGATAAAAAATTAATAGAAAAAAAATATAAATTTTGATAATTATACTCACTAAAATATAAAAGATCAATGAAATAATTGTCCTTTACTCTCACTATAAATCCGTCCGTGCAAACTATATATATATATAGTTTGCGGCAGAGGCCAACGGTTATGCACTATTTTAATTATAAATAAAAAATCCAATTAAAACAAACCAATAATTTTCAGTTATTTTGGTGGAAAGAGATTCATTTTCAGTTTTACTAATATAAAGAACCTGTTTTTTAATTATTGGTTTGATTACATCAAAATTGATAAGCAAATTAACTAAAACAATCAAATGTTTAATAATTAATGTATAAAACATTAGAAGTAGTAATATGTCACAATACATATATTTTTTATTTATACATATTATACAAAATTAATTAATGATAATTTAATTATGGACTATATCTAATTGTTGTATAAATATATAGATCTACTAAATCAATTTCAATTTGATTAGTATTGAATTTGACTAGCTTTTATAAGGTGTTAAAAATTTTGAGTAGCTTAAAAATTTAGTATGATTTGATTTGGTTGACCGAATGTTTGATCTTAAATTTAAATTTCTTATTGATGTCTGTAGTGGCATACCAACCAGCTTTAGCTCAGTGATTGTACAAATTCTTAAGATCAGATGCCAATTAAATTAAATTAAATTAACTGAAGACAACAGTTCATATTGACTTAAAATCAATAGAATGATTAATTGACACTCAATAAAACTGTGCAATGGATCCACACACACACACACACACACACACACACACACATATATATATATATGCATAAACTTATAAATAAATAAGTGTTAAATTAAATTTATATAAATAATTCGGCTTTGCACTAAATATTTTAACGGTTAGATGAGAAATTAGTCCATTTCGGACCGGGAACGATTATATTTAAAAGCTCCCTCCAAGTTGCCAACTCCACAATTCAATCGTGCTATCACTAGAATAGAATCTAATGCGCTTTAACACTAGAATAAATTATTTTGGATATGATATAAATTTTCATTACATCATATATTTATTTAATGTGATTTCTATCTCTTACCACTATAAAGCAGACATTCAACTCCTCAATCATTAACCACCAGTTTGGTGCATCCATAAATTTTAAAGAAAAATTACATTAAAAATGAGTCTCTGGCCTTTAATCCTACTACATAACGAATTAATTAGCAATGAATTACTAGTAGGAAAATATTTTAAACTGTCCTAGCCTATTATACAATGAATGCATAATATTAGCCAGGAAGGTCTCTCGTGACTAGATACATCATCGTGCTTATGCAAAATTTGTAATCAAGACACTAAATTTTTGAGTACCATATTGAATGACTGATTGGTGGTGCTGTATCCTCCATCCACCATCAGGTTTAGCCCACTCACATATTTAGACTCATCACTACCCAAGTACACGGCGGCCTCCGCTACGTCCTCGGGTTGCGGGACCACCCCTTTTAAGTTGGCAGATGCACAAACAACTTGTTCTACAAAATTTTTATCACTCCCCATTGCTTTTCTTAGCAATGGAGTAGCAATTGCACAAGGAGAAATGCAATTTACTCTTATTCCATATTGCCCTAATTCTACACACAAATTCTTCATTAGCCCTACCACCGCGTGCTTGGACATTGTATAAGCATGCGGTGACTCTCCGGTAGTCTTTGAAGCCACACTAGATGTAAAAAGGATAACACCTTTATTTTTAGGGATCATAACTCTTGCAGCATGTTTGGCCCCCAAGAAACCACCATAGACGTTAACATCGAAAACCCTTTTGAAGTTTTCATTATCAGAGCCCAAAATTTTTGGATCCACGTCACCAGTGATGCCAGCATTATTGTACATAATGTCAAGCTTTCCATATTTACTTACCGTAAAATCAACAACGTTTTTCACATCACTGTCATCAGTGACATCGCAATGTAGGTATGAAACCGTGTCGTTTTGGTCGATTTCTTTGCAAAGAGATTGACCAAGATCGTCTTGAACATCACCGATTACAACTTTAGCTCCGTGTTTGACGAAAAGGGTAGAGGTGGCAGCGCCAATGCCACTGGCACCTCCGGTGATTATTGCTACTTTTCCAGCTAACCTGCAAGAAACATACAAATTAATTGAATGGTTTACTTCTTTTAGGGTTTTGGATCAAGAAAAGAAATGGAAGAAACAGAAACAAAGAAACTAACTAATGATGTTTTTTAATGAATTACCTTTTGGCTGCAACAGCTAGTGAGGACGAGCAGTTCATTTTTTTTTTCTTAATTGAAAAAGAAACGAAAACTCCAACCAATAAAAATAGGTGGTCACTCCAACCAATCGTATATATTTCTTGAGATGTGAAAATTGTGATTCAAAAATCTATGATCAGTAAACAAAGCCAACCATAAGGCTACTAAGTGCTCTGTAATGGGTATAGATCTCTGGAAGTAAATGCTTGTAAGAAAATGCACAACTTGCCATGTGAGTGAGTTCAAATTAAGGAACGTGTCCAACTCATGGCGCCTAATTATAGCAATGGCAATGTATATTCATGAATGCATTAAATTAACATATTCAAGCATGTTGGTGAAGTGTTAAATCATACGTCAATTCAATGGACAATTTTCGTAAGATTAGAGATTTAATCCTAGGAAAAGTCTTAATAACAAGATATTGTTTGGTTAGATTAAAATTTTGACCTATATAGATCGAATTGGCCGAATGATCGCTGTTAATCAAGGTTACACTATTAGGTTAATAAAATAATCATACAATTTCAAGAGAATACAATTATTCAATATAAAAAAGAAATTTGATTTTTTTATTCAGTTTGATTATTAATCTATAAAAATTTGTAATCAAGCTAATTGAATTTTTATTAGTTAATATATAAATATAATTTTTATTGGAAATATATTATTTTCTTTAATATATTAATGTATCATTTTTTAAATCATTCATGTTAATAATATGTCATTTTAATAAAATTTTTAATAATATAAATAAAAATTAATTAAGATTTTTAAATTATTAATTATAATTATTTGGTCATGAGAAAATGATGATGATTAGTATTTAGTACGGATATATTACGAATCCCGACTCTTTTCGAAAACCATTTTGAAAAAAACTGGATATAAATTTAATATTTTCTCCCAAAAGTAATTTTTAGATAAAACTATTCTTTTGATTAATATCAATCCATACTGGCTCAGTTTCGGCCCATCAACTTCAATATTCTCATTCCATTCCTTTACTTAAAATCTTTTTTTTTTTTTACAACCCCAATCACTGTTAAGGTAACAATAATAATATGAAAGAAAAAATATATATATATATATATATACTCGGAAATCCCGACTCTTTTTTCGAAAACCATTTTGATAAAAAACTGGATATAAATTGTAATATTTTCTCCCAAAAGTAATTTTTAGATAAAAACTATTCTTGTTGATTAATATCAATTCCAATACTGGCTCCTTCAGTTTCGGCGCCCAATCAACTTCAATATTCTCCATTCCATTTCCTTACTTAAAAAATCTTTTTTTTTTTTTTAACCAACCCCAAATCACTTTAAGGTAAACAATAATATATGAAGAAAAAATATATATATATATATATTATATATAATGAATATATATATATATATATATATAATGAATCAATAAATTAAACATGTTTTTCACATAAAGTTTTCTCTTCAAGCAGCTTTATGTAGGGGTGAGCAAACGCTTCGGTTCGTTTTGGTTCAAACCAAACCGAAGCAAGGTAAAAAATGTGAACTGGAATTTTTGGACAAAAGATCGAATTGAATCGAATTTAATATTTCAACCAAATTGAATCGAATTAAACCAGTCTGGTTTTATCAATTTTTGCATTATTTTTTACAATTTAGATTTAAGGTCATTTTTCTATTATCCATTCATTAATACAATTTTACAACAAAAAAATATTATCCATTCATACAAAATTACAAAAATTACAAACAAACAAATAATTCTTATAAAAAAAGCAAATACATAAACAGAACAAAACTTAAAAACTTTAAATTTTCCAAAAAAGTCCTAGTTTATAACAAAAAAAATATCATTATCCATTTCAAAATTAACAACAAAAAAATTCACCACACATTTCACCACAAAAATAAAAAAACAATTTTACAAAAAATAAATAAACAAAATTCAACATAAAATAAAATAATAATAAAAATTATTTTGCAACATATATTAAAAACAAAAAATGCAGATAAAATAAAAAAATTACAACAAAAAATTCACCAACATTCACACAAAATAAAAAACAATTTACAAAAAATAAATAACAAAATCAACATAAAATAAAATAAAATAAAAATTATTTTGCAACATATATAAAAACAAAAATGCAGATAAAATAAAAGGGTAAGAGCATCTGCCTAACTAGGCGACTGACGTGGCTTCTCCGGCAATCGGCGTTGCATCTGGGAGGTGTGCTGGAAACAGAGAGAAGAGAGAAAAGAGGAAAAGCGGCGCACTGCAATTACGCCAAAGGGGACCAAGGGGTTATAAAGCTCTAATTTTTTGCAACTGACCATTTAAAAATCGGTCGCAATTTTTAATTATGCGATGTCGTTTTATAATCAAACAAATTGCGACCAAAGAATTCGGTCGCAAAAAATTGGTCGCAAATCAGTCACTAATCCATTGCAAATCAGATACTAAATTTGGCGCAAAACTGCAGCGCGCAATCTAGCCAAACAAATTGCGACCAAAGAAGTCGATCGCAAAAAATTGGTCTCAAATCCGTCACTAATCTGTTGCAAACCAGATACTAAATTTGGCGCGTAACTGCAGCGCGCAATTTAGCAATGGATAGAAAAACAATCGCAAATCCATCGCAAATGTGTCGCAAATTCGTCTCAATTGAGTTGCAAAATTTATTAATGCTAGAATTAGCGACGGATATGCAATCGGTCACAATTCTGTCGCTAATATTGTCGCAGATTGGTTGCAAATTCGTCAGGAAATATTTAATCTCTGTTACTTCAAAATTCATCGCAATCGGTCGTAAAATCACTGCAATATTGCGACCGATTTATGTCGTCGCAAAACTGCGTTTTTTTTGTAGTGTAGGATAAAGAACTTGGGATTTGCCAAATTCTTCTTGGGTATAGAGATTGTAAGGTCCAATGAAGGTATGATCTCAACTCAAACTAAATTTGTGTAGGATCTCATTGTTGATGCTGGTTTGGAAACAGTGCCCTTACTCTGCGCAGTCACGTATTAAGCTCACAGCTAACATGGTTCCATTTAGATATTACTATCTAACCCTGATCAATTCAGAAGATTAGTGGGCAAGTTGATATATCTTAGTCTTACTAGACCTGACATCACCTTCTCAATGCAACAATTAAGTCAATTCATGCAACAGCCTTTTGAGTATCACCTTAAGGTAGCTATGCATGTATTGAAATACCTCAAAGGCTGTCCCTCTAAAGGTTTATTCTTTCCCTCTCAAAATGATTTTTTTTAATGCGTATTGTGATGCCGATTGGGCTGCGTGTGCTACAATTAGAAGGTCCATCTCAGGCTATTGTATTTTCCTAGGTAGCTCCTTAGTCTCTTGGAAATCTAAAAAGCAGTCTACCGTTAGCAGGTCTTCAGCTGAAGCATAATATAGAAGTATGGCAATCATTGTATGTGAGCTTCAATGGATTTCCTATATCCTTTAAGATCTTCAAGTTCCTATCCTCCTTCCCATTTCTTTGCACTGTGACAACCAGGTTGCGCTTCATATTGCTAGCAACTATGTCTTCCATGAATGCACGAAGCACATAGATATAGATTAGATTATTTAATTGTACAGCTGTCAACATATAATTGGTTATATACGCATAGAAAGTCAAAATAAGCAGTTACTTCACTTTTTTTTTAATATATAACGAAAAGATATTCTTGATTCTCATTTTCGATTGTACTTACCCAAGAACATGAATACAGTTTACAGGTTTTTCTCATTCTTCCATCTTCGATCTCATTGCAAGTCTATTGAAAAATATTACTTAATTAGACATTAAAAATTCATTTATTTTATCTCTATTTCTCACTTTTTTATAACCTTTTTATAAGTGTGTTTTCCGGAGATTGAAGTTATGATCTCACTCTTATGGAGATTGAGATCATTTACCACTCCAACCAACATCTTGTTAGTTTTTATAACTTTTTATTATTTCAATTATTTTCTTTTAAAAAAAAATCTCAAAATATTCTTACAATTTTCTTTCTATTAAAAAATAAAATCAACAAAAATAAGTTGAAATAAAATTTAAAAAAGGAGATATACATCGAGAAATAAATGGAGTGAAAAAATAAGCAATTGAAGAATAATTTGTTTCAATATTCTCGAAAAAAAAAAAAAGAAGAAAGAAACTACTAACTACACCTGATTGTAAAACATTTATCAGTTACTTGATAACTGAAAAATGAAGTTAGGATGCTGGAATATAAAATGGACAAAATTCAACCAGTAGATTTATAGTTATATCTTGAATAAAAATACTAAATTAGTCCATGAACTTTTTCAATTACTTCAACAAGATTCAATAGATTTTTTTTTTCCAACTTAATCCACTCTTGAATATCTAATTTTGAGCTAATTGAGTCCAAATTTACCACTTGAATCAAATTAGAAATATGATGAGGTAAGAATCCATGAGGTGTAAACATGTGATATGAGCTTACTTAGATTTGGATTAACCAACGCTAAAAAATTATTACTAATCAATTAGCTAGCTTAGCACCTTTATATATCATTTGTGAATTTGGCAATGCGGATCCTTAACAAAAAGTGTGACATCTAATTATAATAATCGATCCTGTTTCACTTTAATATTTTAGGATTTTTAATTTGGGTTTGGACTTATCTGTTTTCCATTCTTTTAGTAACTGAATCTTAAATGAGAAAAAGTGGGCATGCACTGGATTTTCAAGCTGTGGGCTATATTGGACTCAATTAGTCCCAAATTAAAAATTGGATCAAAATGAATATATTGAGCCGAATTGGTCCAATTGAAAGTTTTAAAACTAAATTGATACTTCATCTCAAAATAAATAAGAGAAACTAATAGGCCTAAAAGTGCGGAGATATTCACAAGAAATCTAGTGCACCCGTATAGTATTCGACTTGGACATTGATACATCTAATAGAATGTACAAATATCATATTCTTTTTGTTATAATCACGAAGGTGAAATTCTCCTTGAACCGTAAAACATAAAAGTTTTTTGCTCTCCCAGCAAAATGCTTATCAAGAATTGAATTATCATTTTTACGGAGATTGAAATCGCTTATTATTCGAAGCAACATCTAGTAGGTATAAGTATCATAATTTTGATCATATGAGATGCTAAAACCCGACCACTATACATAAATACATAGAAAAACAGAATTTGTCAAGAGTCATATATTAGAGTTGAAAACAAAATATGTTTCCGAAACTGTAAGTCCTGACCAGAATTTTAGCTTTGAATGATGAATTGTTCTCGAGCATAAAATATGCACGTCTTTGACTTGACCTAACTTTGCACCTAATTATTTCACACTTTCAAATTATCATGAAAAGAAGAAAAGAAAAAGGGAAAATGGGTGAAAGATATAGAATTTAAAGTAAGCAGTAATATAATGTAATCGATATATTTTTATTATAAATATTATTTTAAAATATATTTGATTACCGCATATTCAATATAATTCTATGACCATTTGCTTACGAAACGAACCCTAAATTTTTATAAAATCCTTTTCTTTAAAGATATTCAATTTACCAAAAAGACTATTAGAAATTTAAATTATACATTTTTGAACTTTTATTTACAAGTTTGAAATTTTCTTAACATGATATTAGACTTATATCAAAATCCCCCAATGAAGTTTAAAAGATTATAATTGTGTAGAAGGATGGATATATCAATGAAATTAAGTTCATAGCTGTCATTTATGATATGCACAAAAGTCAAATTACAATACCCAGTTTGATAGAAAGCAACAAGAGAGTTGAATTTTCTAATTTTTCTCCCTTGTAAAACTACACGTGCCTACCCCATTTGACATAACAATTTTGAGTTGCTTTGATGGTAACTATAACTTCTTGAAGTGAGTAATTAGACTTTGTGAATAAATTCCAAGATTTATAAGCGTTTGATTAATTTTTTAATTTTACTTTTCCCATACTCTTGGCTTCCGCTAATATGTACACAATCTGACCAAAGATTTAGTCCTGATAATAAATAATATATATGTGACAACCTAGAACCTTTTCTAAATTATTATTATCATTATGTCATGAAATTATTTTTATTTAATTATTTTAAAGAGTACAATATCTCTTATAAATACCATGATAACAATTGAAGAAATCCCAATTCACAAACCAGTCCTTTAATTAGTTTTCTGGCCTCTTGTTCCTCACCACATTTGTACCAATTCCAATTCCTTAACGACATGGCTAGTGATGCTACTGCCACAGCAATCCATAAAAGGTATGGAGTTATAACCTAACTAATGCTATTAGCTACTACTATAATGTCGTTTTAAAATTTGTCTTATCAATTTATCATTCCATTTTTGCTTATTGTATTAGAGTATATTCATATGGGTCAAGACAATATATTCTTAATTACTTTCATGCATGGTAAAGTACACTTGAGTTGGATAGATAACTTCTGTAAAGTCAAAGAGTTCTATCTGTAGAAATATATTTACGGAAGGAACGTTTATGAATCCTACTACAAGATTAATCTCATATTTAAAAAGAGTCATGAATACTCATGGAAAAAGCCGGAAAAAAAAAAAAAAGAAACTTTCATGTAGGGGATTTTCTTTCTAATTTTCGTTCAACACAATTCTCTCTTACAAATTTCAAATCATAAGCTTAAAAATATATATTGACTCCCATTCTTCAGGTTAGAAGGCAAGGTGGCGATTATAACTGGAGGTGCAAGTGGAATCGGAGCAAGCACAGTTCACCTTTTCCACGAAAATGGAGCGAAGGTTGTTATTGCAGATATCCAAGACAATCTTGGGCATGCCCTTGCTAGTAAGCTAGGCAAAAACGTTAGTTACATCCACTGTGATGTGTCCAATGAAGAAGACATAATCAATCTTGTAGATACAACCATATCTAGACACGGAAAGCTCGATATAATGTATAACAATGCAGGAATTATGGAAAGGCCAGGAGGAACAATTTTAGATGCTAAAAAATCAGACCTAGAAAAAATTCTAGGAGTTAACCTACTCGGTGCTTTCTTGGGAGCCAAACATGCTGCAAGGGTTATGATACCACAACGCAAAGGTTGTATACTCTTTACTACAAGTGTTTGCACTTTAATTTCTGGGTTATCAACCAATTCTTATGCAATTTCAAAACATGGAATTTTGGGGCTGGCAAGAAATTTGACACCCGAGCTTGGCCAATATGGTATAAGAGTAAATTGTGTGTCACCTTATGGTTTGGTTAGTGGCACAAGTTATGAAATTAATTGTAGTGAAGATGAAAGGCATAGAGCAGAAATGTATTTGAGCGAAATGGGTAATCTGAAAGGGCAGATTTTGAGAGCAGATTGCATAGCCGAAGCTGCTTTGTATTTGGCTAGTGATGAAGCATATTATGTTAGTGGACTTAATCTTGCTGTAGATGGAGGGTTTAGTGTTGTGAATCCTACTATGCGTTTGAAGGCTTCAGCTTCTCCAGTGTTGAGAAATTAGTATATCTTATTTGATCTTTTATATATATACTCTGCACTGTAATAAGTGAACTATATGTGATATATAGTTTCTGTTGAGCTATTAGAAAATACGAAATGATAAAGAAATAAAGCCTATTTCTGAATTATATTGAAGTCTTTTATTTTTTCCCCTTTTTGTTTGAATTTGAATGGATGCTGATATTGGTAAACTTAAGCACTTCCATTGCAAAATTTATTATTTAAGTTGCTTACTACTATATCTTTGTATTATTTGAATATCACATCACATGTATCTTTAATTCACTCAAAAAGAATAAAAACAAATTTAAATTAAATTGATATGATTAATCAATTCAGAAAAGATTTTTGGCTCATAAGTGGTTTTGATCTGGATCATAAGTGGTTTTATAATATCTAATGTCGATAATGTTGTCAAATATTGTGCATTGAAAATTGAATTTAAAATATATATATTTACTCATATATCCTTGAGAAACACATTAAATTGTCTTTGTAAAATGTGTGGGGCTAGATTACATTACATATAATAGAAAAAGTGTCTGATATGCAAATATTACAATTAATTCTCTTTGAAAATCATTTTCATTCCATATATACATGCTTCTTTGATTTTTTTTTTTTTTTTTTTTTTTTTTTTTTTTTTTTTTTTTTTTTTTTCTGATTCGAAACAGTGTAATGGAGCATTAAAGTGTATGACAAAATAGAGCAGTGCAGAAGTGGCTATAGACGATGACGGAGAGAGTGGGGGCTGTAAGTGGGCCACCGTCCAGGTATATACATTTTTTAGTGCACTTGTTCAAATAATTTTACTTAGAAAAAATTACAGGAAGATCCCTGTGATTTGTGAAATATAATTAATCCGTCCCTATCTATTTTAAAATATATCAATTTGTCCATATATTTTATTTTCGTTACACTGCTAAGTCTTTCTGTCCATTTTCTGCATCTTTTTCATTAAGTAAATAAGAAAATACAGAGATTAAAGGAGAGATATTAAAATATTATTGTAACATCCTCTTGAGTTGAGTCGGGTTGAACCAAACCTGGTTGGGGTAGAATGGATGATAAGTGGACTTATTTGCATGGAAAGTTAGGGACTTGTTTGCCTCCCAACATATAACAGTGTGGGTATTAAGTTGTGTCTTTGTACACTTGAGGTACCAATTAGAGAGTTTACACAGCCAAGTCATTTCTTCTAGAGACTACCCGTTCTTATCAGCTCACTTTCCCATTTTCATATTCTCTTCTTACTTTCTCTCTCGTTTCCTTGCAAGTTTCATGCACGTTAAGCACTAAGTCACCTCCAAGTAAGTAGAATTCCTTGAAGTTATATGTTATCCACTCTTTATTTGAGTTATATTGGAGATGAGTTATGAGAATTCTTGTGTATAGGAGAAGAAAGTTCAAAGGTAGCAGAAAAGAGAAGTTAAAACAGAGCCCCAGCTTTAAAAGAGAAGCTAAAACAGAGGTCAAGCTTTTTGACATCAAGGTTTGATATCTCATGTTGTTTACTAGATTCTTTGCATGTAAATTGTGTGGTGTGTTGCTAGTGAGATGATATGGTGCTTGTTGTTGAGTGAGAAGATTGGATATGTTGTGAAAACAGGGGATGGAATGACTTTATGAAACAGAGCTTTGCTGGAAATTTCACCAGCAACTTCATCTTGATTTTGACCCCAGAAAATGATGGAATTAGGAATTGTCATAGAAGAGTTATTTGTTTCTCTATGTGTTAGCTTTACATGGGCTTTTGAATCATTCAATTTGAAGTTGTATATTGAGTTATGGCCAAAAGAACACAGACTGCACAGGAATTCCAGTCGCGCGCTCGCGCATACTGGAAAGCAAGTCGCGCTCGCGATTTTCCTTTATTGCGCGGCTCGCGACTTTGAGTCAGTGTAGCTCTCTGACTCATCAAATTGGTCTCAAATGGCACATTACGCGCTCGCGAACTCCACAAGCGCGCTCGCGACTTCATCTCGCGCTCGCGACTTGTGCTGCGCGGTCGCGACTTAAGCTAGAAACCTCTCTGACTCTCAGGAAGCACAAGTCGCGCTCGCGACTTTCACATACGCGGTCGCGACTTATGCTGTGACACTCTTTTGCCTTTCATTTGCTATGTAATTACAATCCTTTGCTCAACATGCATGCATCCAATCATTTTACAACAAAAATACAACATAAGAACATGGATTAAAACAACATACAAGCATTCATATGATGTGTGAAATCAAATCAAACGATGAATGAGTTATTTTGATTGTTGTTGACACATTAATCTATGTGCTATTGTATTTACATTGTAGTTATGCAGTAAGCTCCATTTGAGTTTAGTGTAGACACATGTAGTAAGGCTATGTCGGCGACCATAGAAATAGCAGATCTGCGACCCATACAGTTTGGAAACTCCGGGCTACAGGCCGGTTGAGTGGATATGATTAAACCGTGCGGTGCAAATCCGGTTAGGGGCACCAAAACGGACAATATTGGCATAGGCGAATCCGGTTTGGGGCCTATGGCATACAATTTCATCCAGTTTCATACAGTTTATCTTATCACTTCGGTTTCACTATGACCTTATGGAGCCATACAGATATCTTGACATAACATTTCATGAATCATACAGTCTACTATACAGCAAGAAAGATTATCAAGATAAAATGAAAATATCATGATCTGTGTGCTTACATTCCATATGTAAGTACATGTTTATTTCTACATATGTATGTGCTTATATGTTTCTATGTTTCATTATTCATTGTAATATTCACTGAGTTTAATCAGAGTTGCAGAATTCATACAACATAAAGAACATCAGGTAAGATCATGAACGTATATTGTTGTATATGCTTACACGTTTAATTATTGCTTCTGTAAAGAGTCATACAGTCATGAGATGTTATTAATCGTAATTTATATGATGTGACTAAAAGTGCATAAGTCATACAGCATAATGAATAGCAAGTAATTTTTGTTAAACTTGTATCATGTTTTGTAAATATAAATTACATTTATTTTTTTGGAAACAGTACCAGCTGTTATTATATTTTCAAATATTACAGTATTGTTATTCAGCATGCAGACCATACAGTCAACCAGTTTTGTAGCATCTCGACTCGGTGCATTCGGTGTTTACGGGTGGACTGAGAAGAGGGTGTTACATATATCAAAAAAATTTAATATCAGCTCTCTATAGTTTTTGAAAAGTTACAACTAATCTTAATCCCTATATTTTTAAAATATAAAAGAAGTTTTCAGCATGTCAGACCATACAGTCAACCAGTTTGTAGCATCTCGACTCGGTGCATTCGGGTTTACGGGTGGACTGAGAAGGGGTGTTACAATTATATCAAAAAATTATAATATAGTCTCTATAGTTTGAAAAGTACAACTAATCTATCCCTATATTTTTTAAAATAAAAGAGGTATTTTCTTCATTTCATAAGGTACTTAACGGAAAAAATGCAAAAACTGGATGGAAGAACCTTATAGTCTGACGGAAGTAAAATATAAGGATGTTTTAATCTATTTTAAAAAAGACAAGAACGGACTAGTTATATTTCATAAACTACATGGACTGTATTGTAATTTTTCCTTTTTATTTATAGTGTATTGGTATTGGACTCTAAGTAGTCAAGTCAATGATTGGAGCTATAGCAAAATTTTTAATACACTTAGTATTTCGCCTCTACAAACTATTTTTTATTGCTATTTAATTTTAGTTAAGTTTGATTTTAATTTTAAATTTTGGTTTGATATCCTTTTACAAGTAAACAAAAATTCATGTAAATATTAAAATGGTATTATAAATTCGTAGTCAAATTGTTTATTAATTAAAAGCTTTAAAATTCTGAATTCATCGGATAAATACATGATGTTTAATTTATTCAAAGAGAAATAAAATTAAGTCATACTCAAATTTTATTTAATTGAGATATCCTAATTGAAATTAAATTAAGCCATACTTAAATTTAATTTAATTGAAACCAAATACTCTAATTGAATTAAATTAAGTCACACTAAACTACATTGGTTTGATTTTAAGACTTATAATGAATAAGATAAGCATTAAAGGGGAGAAGATAATCTTTCAAAAGATTGGCATTTTACAGGAATAGGTATTCTTTTTTTTTTTTTTTAAACCAGTCCCTATTACCAGGGACTGTCTAATCAAATTTAGAGTTTAGTCACAATTAAGGCTCTCTGTTCCTCCCTAAGTGTGTTTAGTGGGGATCGAAGTCCTATTAAAACCAAGAAATATAGGCCTGACTGCCATCCACACCAAAATAAATGGAGTTTTTTGAAAAAATCTGCTAGTGGAGGAATCCGAATGCTCTTCTTACATAACTAATCAGACTTGCCAACTAAATCACAATTTGTAGGCAATAGGTATCCATTTTGAAGTTAGTTTCATGTGGATAATTCAATTAGATTAAAGAAAATGATAGCCACCTTATCAATATTGTACTTCTTGTATATTAATAATAGAGTCATGTACACATATTATCGATAAAAAAAAGTTTAGCTGACGATTTACTATCAAAATAGAATTAGACTTGTCTAGAGTGCGCAGTTTTTATGTGCTCGATTGGATTACTCTGATTTTTCTTTATTGGGATTTGAACCATTGCTCATTATCATCATCCTCTAGACCTTCATAGTCCTTTCCTACTACTACTGGTTAATTTATGTTACCATATCATGTCCCCCCCTTTCTTCCTCTTTCTCATCATCCACATCACTGGAAGGCAAGTGGATTCTCACATGCAAAAGAAGATGCCAAAAGAGTTTTGTCCAATCACTCTCGCGGCTTTAAGACGCTCCTCACCCTCTATCATCTCCTTTTTTGTTTTTGTTTTCTTCTCTCTCTTTAGATCTGACAAATAAACTGAAAAAAAATATATATTAAAAATGAAGTGGTAATAAAAATTACAATATAGCAATTGAGTGAAGTACCATATGAACTTTGTAGAAAAACTTAAAGACTTACAGAAATTGATTGTAGAATATGCGAAAAACATATCTAGGTGTAAGTACACTATCACCAAATCGTCAGTATTCTCTTTAATTAAATAAAAGCAAAAAAAAATAATAATAATAGAGGATTTTAACAAGCATGTTTTTTTATTTTAGTTTATACTACTCCGTGCCTTAACCCGTTGGGCTAAATCTAATCATGCTTGTATTGTGCCAGGCTTATAAGGGGAATCCGATGCCAGGCTTATAAGGGGAATCCGAGTCATTCCATTTAGGCCAATTCCCATTAGTACAAAATCGTTGCTTCTCTCACATTGAAAGTGACACAATTGATAAGTATTAAATAATCAATAAAACATCCAAGATGACTTGTTCGAGTGGTTGAAGCACATTACATCTCATCTTGGTAATGATTTTAGGATTGAGTTGTGGAGTTAGCATCTTGGAGGAGGGTTTTTGACAAAATCCCTAAAAGGAATTAGTCTCTCATCTTTTGGAAAAAGATAAAATAATGCTATTAAAATAAGAGTAGTACTATTTGGCTTCAAATAACAGATATAACCTTGAGTGGTTTTTAAGGGATAAATAGATGGAAAAGAAACTTAATTTTGGAGGAAAATATATGCATTAAATACTTGTTTCCACAATTAATGATTTTACTTTATTTTATCATATAATTAATTATATATGTTGTTGAAAATGACGACGGCCATCAATTTTTAACTTAAAAATTATTTTTGGCATCATCATGTTTATTGGTCACGGTTAATTTGATTCAAGCTAATCAAAATGGTTTATACACTTAATAAAAATATTAAGCCTGATATAGATTCTATAAGGATTGAACAATGCCGAAGTAATAATAAACTGGACTGGCAATTAAACCGGTATTATGACCACATCAAGGTTGGATCGGATTGGACTGGTTCAACCGGATTCTTAATTTTTTATTTTTAATATTTTTACATAAGTGTACTTGTGTATATATGTATTGCAACAAAAATAAATTTCAACCCAGTTTTCTAAAAAAAACATTCGGTTTTTCCAAAAAAATCGGTTTTTATTAAGAAAATCTGATTTTTTTTCCTAATTTTATCAAGAACGCCAAGTTTTTATCACCGATTCAACCTGATTTCCCCAAAAAAATTTAATTTTCTATTCAGAAATCGGTCCAACTTGATAATCGAACCAAACAACTTGATTTCAGTTTAATTGGTTCGACTAGTCAGTCTGATCCAATTCCAATAATGTTATATATAAATATCCTTTTAATTTATTTGAGAGGATACGAAATCCTAGCATATGAATCCTTTTAATAAAAATTTTTAAGTCTAAATTCTATATAAAAATTTTAACCAAAATATGGATTCTACCATTTTTCATGCCTAATTGAAAATTTTTTAACTTGACTAAATTTAATTTAATTATCGTGTGATCAGGTGCAACTTTAACTAATTGTTACTTAATCTCATTCCAATTTGGTTGTCTTAATTTAATTTAGTTCTAAGTAAGGGTTAATCAATCACTACTTCATTTAATTTCAATTATTTAATTTAATTTTAGGTGTGACTTAATTTAATTCAAATTAGATTGTCTAATTAATTTGATTCAAGTGTGACTTACTCAATTGTTACTTTATTTAACTTTAGTTTAGATATCTTAATTTAATTTTGTGACTTAAAATTTAATTCAATTAGAATTGTCTAATTAATTTATTCAATAGCTTGTCGACTTTACTCAATTTTGTTTACTTTATTCTGAAACTTCTAGTTTAGATATCTATAATTTAATTTTGATCTTTTCTATTCTTATAATATAATTTAATTAATTCAAATTAGATTGTCTAATTAATTTGATTCAAGTGTGACTTACTCAATTGTTACTTTATTTAACTTTAGTTTAGATATCTTAATTTAATTTGATTTTTTTAATATAATTTAATAGAGTATAAATTAACCATTCAAGTTTAGGCGGCGGTGGTAGTCGACAATGGTGGTGGTGGTGAACAGTGAGCGGTGGTGGTGGCTATCAATGATTAATAAATCAACAAAATATGAGTTTATAAGGTTATAATAAGCTTGTCAAAGTTCAGAAAATGTTTTACGCTCTTGAAGATGGGAAGTCATTTTCCTTAAAAATGACTTAATTTTCCTATTTAACTGGGAAAATATTTTCCATTGAATTATTTTTCGATATTTTCAAACAATGAAAATTTGTGAAAAATATTTATCTGCAAGTTAATACCTTGTCTGGAGCTATTAAATGATGAAAGAGAAATATTTGAAATTCAAATTTTAGATCTCTATCCGTCGTCAAACCTACAAATTTTAAATGAGGAAAAAAAGGACATTTGACTTTCTAAATTTGGACAAAAATATCATCTTAAGTGTCATATTCTGAATCACCGTGAGAAAAAAATATCTTCCCTCAAAATAAATGTCATACGTTTACTCCATCTCTTAGTTGGCAGACTATAAATGTTATACATTTATATCAGCAGAAAAACTGTAAAGTTAGTTGGAATTTATTTCAAAGTTTGAAATCAATAGGTTCATCATCGGTCTATCAAAAAATAAAAGTACTCAGAGCTAGTATTCCAATATTCGTTGGTCATGTACTTTCTAATTTTTGTTAAACGCTTTATGGTATTTTTAATCTATTAGATAATTCAATTTACAAATTACATATATTAAAACGCTTTAATTTCAAAATTATTTTATTGAACCCTCCCTCCTATACGTATAAAGTTAGTTGTTCAATATTGAATAATTGTTTTTCCGAACCAATTTTACAAATCAAGTGTGTAACGAGTTAAATGAAGCGTTTAATATGTGCAATTTTATAAATTAAAGTGTTTAATGGATTAAAATAAAAGTTGAAAGTACTGTAAAATTTTTTACAAATAGTTCAAGGCATGAGAAAATGAAATGGAGTACTACTTTAATGATGATGCTTTTATATGAGATAAAATTAATATTAATTTTTCCGTACAATTATATGAGGAGTTTTTAATTTAAAAAAGATAATTTAGAAGCTTTGTATTTTTAGAAAATTAGCGTGTTCTAAGTATTTTTTTTAATTTTTATAAAAAGATAATAATACAATGAAAGGAGTATGTATTTCGCTTTTTTTTTTTTTTTTTAATATTTTTTTTAAATTTATAAAAGTCATAATCATTTACAATGAAGGAGTATGTATTTCGCTTTTTATTTTTTTTTTTTTAATATATTGACTTTGAGGCGTTAATTTGTACTAAATCTCGTAGAGGTGGTAGACTTAAATGTTAACATTTATATCACGAAGATGTGTACATCTTAAAAATTATAGAGTTGATTGAAGGATATATGCTTTCGAAAGATTATTTTGAACCAACACGTTGCACTTTAGGTGTTTAATTTTTTTTTTTTTTTTTTAATATATTGACTTTGAGGAGTTTGTACTAATCTCGTAGGTGGTAGACTATAAATGTTATACATTTATATCACGGGATGGAACATTAAAAATTTAGAGTTGATTGGAATTTGCTTCGAAGTTTGAAACCAACACGTTGCACTAGGTGTTAAAAAATGAAGATCGAATCACCTTACTTATGGGTAAAAGTACCCAAAATATTTATTTCACTAGTCATCACGATGGAGAGCTAACTCTGCAGATTACATGATAAGGAATAGTTTTCTCTGATTCATTAAATTAGTGAAAATATTTAAATTCAATAAATTAGTGAAAATATTTATGGTCGAGAGGATTCGAACTCAATAACTCTTACTTTTTACATAAGTGAAAAGACCAATAAAACCACGTTTGATTGACATTTTTAATATTCTTTGATAATTTACTCTTAATTTTGTGAAACACTATATGACATTTTTAGTCTTTTGAGTAATTCAATTTATAAATTACATTTATTAAACATTTTAACTTACATAATCATTATATTGAACCCTCCATCCGATAAATATAAATTATTAACTTATTTGATAGTTATAAAAGTTATATTCCCTCAATCCCAAAATATAAATCTTTTTTTTTTGCCTTTTTTTGGACTTACCAAATTGGTAAAAATATTTATAGTCGACAATTCTCACTCTTTATATAAGTGAGAAGACTAACCAAACCAGACCTGATTTGGCAAGTCGTTTTTAATTTTGTTTAGAACTAATTATTTAATTATAAAAATATGGATAAAATTTATATCTGCAGGTCCCTTTTTCTCTTTCGTTTGGTGGTTGCTGTCCTATATATAAATCACAGATATGCAACGAAATTACGCGCACAAAAAGAAAAATAAAACCTCTAAACAGTGAGTTATGGAAAGCATGAGCTCTGCTTCAGTATTATCCCAACAAAGGTAACCTAAACATATCTCACTATTATTTCCCTTCCCTGTCCTTTCACTGCACTTATCTTTTTGCGGTTTTTTTAATTTTCTATAACCTGTTTTTCTTTTAAAAAAGTTTCTTTTAATTGAAACTCATTTTTCATTATGTCAAGATTTTTTTAGAGTGCTTTTCAGTGCATCCAATAAAGAATAGTAGCTTTCACCTTTATCAACTTGATTAATTTCATATAAAGATATAGAAACATTTTAATTATCTTGGCATTCCAATTTCAGGTTGGCAGGGAAGGTGGCTATCATAACTGGTGGAGCAAGTGGAATTGGAGCAAGTACAGTAAAACTATTCCATGAAAATGGGGCCAAAGTTGTAATTGCAGATATTCAAGACAATTTAGGAGAAGCCATTGTTAGTAAGCTTGGTGGTAATAACATCTCCTACATGCATTGTGATGTTGGAAAGGAAGATGGCATCATCAATCTTATTGATACCACAATTTCCAAATATGGAGAACTTGATATTATGTATAATAATGCAGGAATTATAGATAAGCCATTTGGTAGCATTTTGGATAGTACAAAATTAGAATTAGACAGATTACTTAGCGTAAACTTGATTGGTGCATTTCTTGGAGCCAAACACGCAGCTAGGGTTATGATCCCACAAGGTAAAGGTGTTATATTGTTCACTTCTAGTGCTTGCACTGCAACTGCAGGAGTTTCAACAAACACATATGCGATTACAAAATATGGGATTTGGGGCCTTGCAAAAAATTTGGCAGCTGAATTAGGGCAACATGGGATAAGAGTGAACTGTGTTTCGCCTTTTGCGGTGGCGACCGCCATAGGTGGTGGAGAGATTTCTGAAGAAGGAAAAGGTATATTTGAAGAAGTAATGGGTGCAGTTGGTAATCTTAAAGGGCAGATTTTGAAGGCAGAGGATGTGGCAAAGGCTGCATTGTTTTTGGCTAGTGATGAAGCCAATTATGTGAGTGGACTTAACCTTTTGGTGGATGGAGGGTATAGTGTTGTTAATCCTACTATGAGAAATGTTTTATTCCCTTCCAACTTATGAGAAATGCTTTTCTAGTAAGATGTTATTAAAAAACTCGTGAGATGTTTCTAATAAGATATTATAATGTAAGAAGTTTAATCAAATAAAAACTTATTGATATCTTTCTCTGTTTTTATTTTATCATTTTATGACTTAATAACAAATCTATCAAGCCAAGGAAGAAACGGACAAACTATAAGCTGTGAATAGTAGCATTACTTAGCTTAACTTTGTAAATAGTCAATGTACTTTATTTATCTTAGTCAAATATATTATAAAGCAAACTGATGTATATATATGCATTATTCAATTAATGAAAGCAATTAAGAATCATTTTTCCAAATACATTGTTTGGTAACAAAATCTAATTTCAATTTTCCGGCTTTAATTTTAGAATTTTACATAATTTTAATTTTCTGATGTAATATGATTTTATTTCCCAAATCATTCTAAAAGTTTTTTTTTAAAAATTATTACTTTTTTATGGGTGTAACTAAGTCTTTCCAACTTTTTAACCCATATTCGGTAAAAATAGTTAATTTAAGTAATTATTAGATATCCTAATAGCATTTCATCAAATATTGAAGGAGTAATATTTTCTTCATGATATTGTTGGCATAGCGTATAGGAGAGTATGTAATAGTTAGTATGTTTTCTTCTTTCTTAAAAAAAAAAATAAAAATAAAAAAAGAGTAACTTTTCATAATCTGTTTCACCAAACTCTAAATACTAACATAAATTTTATATCAGGAACGCTATAGATAATAGAAATAGTGTTTTAATTAAATCAAAAGACTAAATATTATATTAAATGTTTTTTTAGTTAAATGACTAAAGGTCTATACTGCTCGGCAATATTAGTTGTTTTCATCGTTGTTAGTTGTTAGTAGTTATTAGCTATTACATTAGGAATGTTCGGCGAAATAGTTATTTGATTAGATACTTAACTTAAAATGACAGAAAAAAGATATTGCTTGTTCAATTAGCTGAATTTGGGGGGAAAATTATGGATATAATTGTCAAAGAAATTTAACTAATTTTTGTAAAATGCTAAATGTTAAAGCATTTCATGTTTTATATAAAAATCTGCTTCAACCTCTAAACGCTATTGTAAAAACTATCTTACGGAAGATATAATTAATAGAGAAAGAGTTTTCTCTTAGTCAAAATGCTAAAAACTAGTAGCTCAAAAGGTATTGTCGAATAAGCCTAAGTATTTTGATATATATATATAAATGCATTTCATGTTTTATATAAAAATTTCTGCTCTTCACCTCTAACACGCTATTTGTAAAAAAACGGGTTATTCTTACGGAGCCCTTTTATATTAATAGACCGATCAGAGTTCTCTTAGTCAAATGCTAAAACGGGTAGCGTGCTACAAAAGGTCATGTTCGACTCAAGACCTAAGTAATTTTGATATAGGGTGATATACTATCATAATAATATCCCTACTATATATTATTATCATAATATACTATTATTAAATAACCATTTCGATTGTTAGGAATAAAAAACGTCATATTTTAACCATTCGATAGTAGAAAAAAAAAATGACGGTGCAAAAATTGGTTAACTAAAAAAAAACTTTAAAAAATAGATATAGCAACAAAATTTGCTATATGGAATTTTAATTTGTTTTTTGAATTTATTTTATTAAAAATTTTGAAGTTAATTTTTGAATTTTAGGATAGATTTGGTGTTAAGCTACTATTGTTTAAACTGAAATTATGAACTTTCTTTAGCTTTCTGATCTTGTCTTCGTGTAAGGTTTGTGAACAAGCCTATTGAAGCTTGCGTGTAAGGTTTTTATTATATAATTCACTTGACTATTTGATGTAGATAGCTACAATTCGTGATAAACTGATAATTTTATTGAGGTTGATGGAGACTATTAATTTGGAATACGAAGATTCTGGTTGCAAATTTAGAAGATATTTCTGCTGTAACGGCGATAAAACAACGAGAGCAATCAAGTTTACTTTAATCACGTCAAAGTGTTTTTTTATGTGTTTTGTGTTTAGTTAAAAATTTATTGTAATATTAATTTTTCTATGATTTTTGTTTTGATTTTGAAGAACAAATTCATTTTGTTCATAATAATATATTTCTAAGCTTGATTTGAGTTAAATAGATTATAAGTATCATAAACAGGATAAGTGAGCTATGCAGTTTTTTTTTTTTTTAACCACATGACCTATTAACCACATGACCTATTTAATTAAATAGATTACATATTTAGTATTTCTGTCAACTGCTTAATTTTCATATCGTACCAGTATTCAAAAATTTGACAAAATTATCAAATTGGTTGGTTTGACTAGAGTCATGTCGCATATTAAGTGAATTTATGTCAAACCCGACACGCCAACCCGTGACACCTCTATTAATTCTCTTGTTCTTTCATCCAAAATTTTCATTTTATTGTATATACCAAAGAAAAGGTAGATATAAAAAAATATTTTCATTTTTATTTTTATTTCTATTTTGGTTAGGCAATTGCATTTGGATGGGGTAAGTAGACCAGGAAAGTGCAATTTTTTGAAAAGTGTATAAAGTGTTTGTATTTAGTTTGCATTATCATTTATACTTTCTGGAAGTAGATCTTACACAAGGGAAGTAAGTTCCTGAAATATGGATAGGAAAGCTGCACTTTCTTAGCTAAGTGCAATTAATTTACTAATTTATCCTATTATCTAGATATTATTGTAATTTGTAGTTTAAGAGCAATTCACTTGATTTGCATACCAAACACATAAAAATTATACTTCGGAAGTGGGAATTATACTTCTCAATAATTGATCTTCTAATTTTCTAATTGATTTCCGATTATTGGTCAAATTTACTCCTTTTCTCTAATTATACCTTATATTTTTGCGTTAATTGTTCAAAATTTTAACATGAAGTTGAACAAAGATCACACACTTGGAAAAAAAAACTATATTTTCATTTCAATTATCAGGGAAAAGCTAAAATTGAAATTTGAAGTTATTACAAATATATTTTTAATATAATCTATGAGTTTGGATTGAAATTAATTAGGTTCAAAGAATTTTTTTTTCTTCAAGAATATATTTTTATTAAGAGTTGAAAACCACAAATTACAAATACATCAAAATCACCATAAAAGAGTTCTATTAATATCTTATTAGTATTTTCAACATATTATTTAAAAAGAAAACAGAGAAATAGAACAGTTCAAACAGTCATGTCATACAAATACTATTAATTAAGCACATGGTGCACTGAAGAAGCTAGGGGGCTGGCCCCGCCGCCCGCCCCCTCCTAATTAAAATTTTTTTTAAGAATTATCTCATAAAATTTTAAATATTTTTTTACTTTTACCCTTTAAAATAATAAAATTTTCAATTTTAACCCCTTTAACTCTTGAAATTCTTTTTAGACCCCTAACTTTAATTCCTCGCTTTCTTCCTCAGTCACTGGTGGTCAGGTGGGTACTGAAACAATTGAAATGATGGATTATGAATACTAAATCCTCCATCTATTGCTAGATTATGACCATTAATATATCTACCCTCATCACTAGCTAGATAAAGTGCAGCATTAGCAACATCTTCAGCCTTTAGTGTCACACCTTTTAAACTAGCAAGTGAATCCATCAAATTCTCTAGTCCTTCATCATCAAGCCCTACAAATTTCGTCGCTAAAGGCGTAGCAAGAGCATATGGCGACAAGCAATTCACCCTAACACCAAATTGGCCTAATTCAATTGCTGCATTTCTCGTAAGTCCTAAAACAGCATGTTTTGAGCAAGTGTATGCATGAGAGGCTGCAGCACCGACAAGTGAACTTATACTAGCTGTACAAATAATGCTTCCTTTACGCGCGGGAATCATAACACGGGCAGCGTGTTTAATCCCGAGGAAAACTCCGGTTACGTTAACGCTAAGAACGCGTTCAAAGTCTTCCTTTTCGTTGTCGATTATGCGGGGTTTATTGGGATCAACAATTCCTGCATTGTTGAACATTATGTCTAGCTTGCCATAGGTAGCAACTGCTTTGTCAACTGCATTTTTTATGTGGGCCTCATTTGTGACATTGCAATGGACATAGGTAGAGTTTGATGGGCCTAGGGCTTGACTAACTGCTTGGCCCAATTCATCTTGAACATCAGCAATCACTATTTTGGCTCCATGGTGAGCAAAGACTTTGGCGGTGCATTCACCGATGCCGCTAGCGCCGCCTGTGATTAGGGCTACCTTTCCCTCTAACCTGCATTTTTTTTTTTTTTACAAAATAAGTGAAATATTACGTCATTGCGTCATTGATGATGTTATACTGCAATACCCATTAATTGATTATATATTTATATTAATTCGGAATATGTTTAAGCAGATTTTAGTGGTTTTTTGTTGCATATTTTATTATAATGAAATAAATTAATTTAGTTAATTTAGCTGATAAAAAAAATTTTAAGTGATTTTTTTTCATCTAAATACTATTTTTTATAGTGTTTCTATGAATATAGAGTATAGACTAACCTTACAGCTTAAAATAACATTTTATAAAAAGTTAACCACGTGACTGAAAAGCTATTTAAAACCATTACTAATTTTTAAATACTGTTAAAATAATTAACAACTATCTAAACAATTAATCCCATGTAACAAATTCTTAGTAAAAATAACAATAATGTCATGAAATTAATTTCAAAATAAAAAGGACACGAGGTTACGCGAAAAAAATGTACAAAATTAAATTAAAAAAATAATAGATCCCATGACTCAATCCAGGTGAAAGTATATGTTTCCTATTTACTTTGTGTGACAAGGTTGTAATCTGGACCAAATTACCTAAATTATTTATCAAGTTAATAAAATTATTGTTCAAAAAAAAAGTTTAATAAAATTATCTTTTAGTCTCTCAAATTTCAGTAAATTATATTTTAACTCTTAAGTTTTAATTTCAAGGTCTGCCCTCATATCACATGAGTTCCAACAAACAGAGAAAGTCTTTTGTTTTAAAAGCTCATTATGATCATCAACAAGAAAAGAAATACAAAAGCTTATAGAAATGGAAATAAACAGATGGAAAGAAAATTGTAAGATCGTGACTTACCTTCTTGCAACAGCAGAGATAAATGAAGCTGCCATTTTTCCTCACAACCAAGTACAGAGAGAAGCCTGTGAAAATATAGTATAAGAAATGCAAACTAAAGAACAGCTAATATGGAAGACAAGACGTTGGGGGAGAAGGAATCTTATAGTGGTGATGCTTTGCTTTCTAATATATATATATATATATATATATGTAATATATATATATATATATATATATAAGAAATCGTTATTTCTTTTCTTTTATTACATCGTTATTTTTATAATCATTAAGTATTTTTGTAATTTAATTTTATTCTCTCCCCCTATGACTATTTTTTATGTGTTTGACCGATACGATAGGTATCCATTTTGAAGTTAATTTTTCGTGGATAATTCAATTAGATAAAATGATAGCCACCTTATTGTGAGCCGCCTTTGTTGAAAAAAAATATATATATATATAGTTTAGCTCAATTTCACGTGGGGAGATGAGCTTTTGAAGGTGTTTGAATTGGCTATAAAAGGAAGTATATTTAGATTTTTAAACACATTAAAAATACTTGAATGAGTTTTATATTAGGGATTTAAAGCAAGTCTTTTGATATTCCTTAGAGTATAAAATATTTGGAGTGTTTTGAGGGTATCGAGTAGAAAAATATTTTATAATTGTAGTCGTAACAATTTGCCGCATAGTAAATATTTTTCTTGATTGTCGTTTGGCAACGACAGTGGTTTTTCTTCACTTGGAGAGTTTTCCACGTTAAACTATTGTGTTATTTATTCTCTTTAATTTCTCAGTCATCATTTTATTTTTCTCATTTATTCCTGTTTGAAGTCGGTCCGAAAGATGGAAAAATAGCGAGTTTTCCAACACTTATCAATATTGTACTTCTTGTATATTAATAATAGAGTAATGTACACATATTATCGATAAAAAAAAAAAGTTTAGCTGACGATTTACTATCAAAATAGAATTAGACTTATCTAGAGTGCGCAGTTTTTATGTGCTTGATTGGATTACTCTGATTTTTCTTGATTGGGATTTGAACCATTGTTCATTATCATCATCCTCTAGACCTTCATAGTCCTTTCCTACTACTACTTGTTAATTTATGTTACCATAATTATCATGTCCCCCTTTCTTCCTCTTTCTCATCATCCACATCACTGGCAGGCAAGTGGATTCATATCCACATCACTGGAAGGCAAGTGGATTCTCACATGCAAAAGAAGATGCCAAAAGAGTTTTGTCCAATCACTCTCGCGTCTTTAAGACGCTCCGCACCCTCTATCATCTCCTTTTTTGTTTTCGTTTTCTTCTCTCTCTTTAGATCTGACAAATAAACTGAAAAAAAATATATATTAAAAATGAAGTGGTAATAAAAATTACAATATAGCAATTGAGTGAAGTACCATATGAACTTTGTAGAAAAACTTAAAGACTTACAGAAATTGATTGTAGAATATGGGAAAGACATATCTAGGTGTAAGTACACTATCACCAAATCGTCAGTATTCTCTTCAATTAAATAAAAGCAAAAAAAAAAAAAAAAGAAATTTAACTAATTTTGTAAAATGCTCAATGTTAAAGCATTTCATGTTTCATATAAAAATCTCCTCCAATCTCTAAACGCTATCGTAAAAACTATGTTACGGAAGATATAATTAATAGAGAAAGAGTCTTCTCTCGGTCAAAATGCTAAAACCTAATAGCTCAAAAAGTGTTGTCGTAGTAAGGAAAAAAAAAAAATGACGGTGCAAAAATTGGTTAATTAAAAATTTTGAAGTTAATTTTTGAATTTTAGGATAGGTTTGGTGTTAAGCTACTACTGTTTAAACGAAATTATGAACTTTCTTTAGCTTTCTGATCTTGTCCTCGTGTAAGGTTTGTGAACAAGCCTCTTGAAGCTTGCGTGTAAGGTTTTTATTATATAATTCATTTGACTGTTTGATGTAGATGGCTACGACTCGTGATAAACTGATAATTTTATTGAGGTTGATGGAGACTATTAATTTGGAATATGAAGATTGTGGTTGCAAATTTAGGAGATATTTCTGCTGTAACGGCGATAAAACAAAGAGAGCAATCAAGTTTACTTTAATCGCGTGAAGTGTATTTTTTATGTGCTTTGTGTTTAGTTAAAAAATTTATTGTAATATTAATTTTTCTATTTAAAAATTTATTGTAATTATTAATTTTTCTATGATTTTTATTTGATTTTGAAAGAACAAATTCATTTGTTCATAATAATTATTTCTAACGCTTGGATTTGAGTTAAGTGATTCATGTTTTTTTTTTTTTTTTTTTTTTTTTTTTAACCACATGACCTATTTAATTAGATAGATTACATATTTAGTATTCCTGTCAACTGTTTAATTTTCATGTCGTACCAGCATTCAAAAATTTGACAAAATTATCAAACTGGTTGGTTTGACTATAATCATATCGCATATTAAGTGAATCTATGTCAAACCCGACATGCCAACCCATGACACCTCTATTAATTCTCTTGTTCTTTCATCCAAAATTTTCAACTTATTGTATATATCAAAGATTTTTATTTTTATTTCTATTTTGGTTATGCAATTGCGTTTGGTTGGGGGGTAAGTAGACTAGGAAAGTGCAACTTTTAGGAAGTGCATCTTTTCGGAAAGTGCATAAAATATTTGTGTTTAGTTTGCATTATCATTTATACTTTCTGGAAGTAGATCATCCAATTTTCCTTACACAAGAGAAGTAAGGTAAGTAAGTTCCTTAGATATGGGTAGGAAAGTTGCACTTCCTTAGCTAAGTGCAATTAATTTACTAATTTATCCTATTATCTAGATATTATTGTAATTTGTAGTTTAAGATCAATTCACTTGATTTGCATACCAAACACATAAAAATTATACTTCCGAAGTAGGAATTATACTTCTCAATAATTGAATTTCTAATTGATTTCCGATTATTGGTCAAATTTACTCCTTTTCTGTAATTATACCTTGTATTTTTGCGTTAATTGTTCAAAATTTTAACATGAAGTTGATCAAAGATCACACTTGGAAAAAAAAAAACTATATTTTCATTTCAATTATAAGGGAAAAGCTAAAATTGAAATTTGAAGTTATTACAAATATATTTTTAATCTAATCTATGAGTTTGGATTGAAATTAATTAGGTTCAAAGAAATTTTTTTTTTTTCTTCAAGAATATATTTTTAGTAAGAGTTGAAAACCACAAATTACAAATACATCAAACTCACCATAAAAGAGTTCTATTAATATCTTATTAGTATTTTCAACATATTATTTAAAAAGAAAACAGAGAAATAGAACAGTTCAAACAGACATGTCATACAAATACTATTAATTAAGCACATGGTGCACTGAAGAAGCTAGGGGGCTGGCCCCGCCATACTATTAATTAAGCACATGGTGCACTGAAGAAGCTAGGGGGCTGGCCCCGCCGCCCGCCCCCTCCTAATTAAAATTTTTTTTAAGAATTATCTCATAAAATTTTAAATATTTTTTTACTTTTACCCTTTAAAATAATAAAATTTTCAATTTTAACCCCTTTAACTCTTGAAATTCTTTTTAGACCCCTAACTTTAATTCCTCGCTTTCTTCCTCAGTCACTGGTGGTCAGGTGGGTACTGAAACAATTGAAATGATGGATTATGAATACTAAATCCTCCATCTATTGCTAGATTATGACCATTAATATATCTACCCTCATCACTAGCTAGATAAAGTGCAGCATTAGCAACATCTTCAGCCTTTAGTGTCACACCTTTTAAACTAGCAAGTGAATCCATCAAATTCTCTAGTCCTTCATCATCAAGCCCTACAAATTTCGTCGCTAAAGGCGTAGCAAGAGCATATGGCGACAAGCAATTCACCCTAACACCAAATTGGCCTAATTCAATTGCTGCATTTCTCGTAAGTCCTAAAACAGCATGTTTTGAGCAAGTGTATGCATGAGAGGCTGCAGCACCGACAAGTGAACTTATACTAGCTGTACAAATAATGCTTCCTTTACGCGCGGGAATCATAACACGGGCAGCGTGTTTAATCCCGAGGAAAACTCCGGTTACGTTAACGCTAAGAACGCGTTCAAAGTCTTCCTTTTCGTTGTCGATTATGCGGGGTTTATTGGGATCAACAATTCCTGCATTGTTGAACATTATGTCTAGCTTGCCATAGGTAGCAACTGCTTTGTCAACTGCATTTTTTATGTGGGCCTCATTTGTGACATTGCAATGGACATAGGTAGAGTTTGATGGGCCTAGGGCTTGACTAACTGCTTGGCCCAATTCATCTTGAACATCAGCAATCACTATTTTGGCTCCATGGTGAGCAAAGACTTTGGCGGTGCATTCACCGATGCCGCTAGCGCCGCCTGTGATTAGGGCTACCTTTCCCTCTAACCTGCATTTTTTTTTTTTTTACAAAATAAGTGAAATATTACGTCATTGCGTCATTGATGATGTTATACTGCAATACCCATTAATTGATTATATATTTATATTAATTCGGAATATGTTTAAGCAGATTTTAGTGGTTTTTTGTTGCATATTTTATTATAATGAAATAAATTAATTTAGGGTTTTTTGTTGCATATTTTATTATAATGAAATAAATTAATTTAGGTGATAAACAAAAATTTTAAGCGATTTTTTTTCATTTAAATACTATTTTTTATAGTGTTTCTATGAATATAGAGTATAGACCAACCTTACAGCTTAAAATAGCATTTTATTATAAAAAGTTAACCACGTGACTAAAAAGTTATTTAAAACAATTACTAATTTTTAAATACTATTAAAACAATTACCAACTGTCAAAGCAGTTAATTTCGTATAATAAATTCTTAGTAAAAATAACAATAATGTCGTGAAATTAATTTCAAAATAAAAAGGACACGAGGTTACGCGAAAAAAATGTACAAAATTAAATTAAAAAAATAATAGATCCCATGACTCAATCCAGGTGAAAGTATATGTTTCCTATTTACTTTGTGTGACAAGGTTGTAATCTGGACCAAATTACCTAAATTATTTATCAAGTTAATAAAATTATTATTCAAAAAAAAAAGTTTAATAAAATTATCTTTTAGTCTCTCAAATTTCAGTAAATTATATTTTAACTCTTAAGTTTTAATTTCTAGGTCTGCCCTCATATCACATGAGTTCCAATGAGTTCCAACAAACAGAGAA